GTAGTAGTTATTCGGTCTTTGATAATGGTAGTACTATATAAGTATACTTTCAAAGCTTGAATACCATAAATATATAAAACAAACAGAATTGTGCAATAATAATAATCCATGAAACACTTGTACATGACGTGTGACTTTTAAGATCCAATCTGACCTCTAACCATCATCACCTCTGTCTGACCATGGTTGCGTGTATCCTAACATGTATAGGCGTCTGGTGATAATTGTGCACACCCAACGTGTAAAGGTTATTCAATGTAAGCTGTGAATTACCTCAACATAGATAATTCCTTCAGTACAGGAGAGTTCTATTTTTACCCCAGAAACATGAGTGAATGTTCAGGCAGTCTGGCCATCCCATCATGCACCTGGATGGTTTAGGTTCGGAAGTGGCTCTGGCAGATTTGATAGACTGATATCACAGCCTACACCATATGGTAACTGTCATAATAAAAGATGGAGAATAATATATGATTGTGGGCAAATATTGGCTGAAATGTGAATGGAATCCAGTGTACACAGAGGTGACCTTCACACCATAACAACTCCCGCACTGAAGAGTTACTTTTCCCTGTAGCAGGAAACCAGAGCTAAAATTAGTAAAATTCCTATAATATCTATCGATAATCGGTGATAATTTTCCCCATTTTTAATAAACCATTCATGCAGGAAGAGTAAGACTATTTGGTGTCAATTTCTACCCATAGGGAGATCTGAACCCAAGTTTTCTACACAATATGAACTTGCTTAATGTCCACCGTTAATAGGCAGGTAACTGGATCAGTGTAAACTAGAATTGAATTCTCAGCTTCCTTTATTTGACCAGTATTTAACCAAAGCTACTCATGAGGCCCTGAAGGTTGTCAGTCAAAATACCACTTCATCCTACCCACCTTGGCAAACACTTTAACCACTGGACTAACTCACGGTCTAGTGCTGTAAACAAACATAATTGATGAACTTTCTGACCATTGCATCAACGAATCCAATGTAGGCGATTCTAAGTTGTAGATGAATTAATCAACTCAAAGGTAGTTCAAAATACAACATCCACCATGAGGCTGTCTCAGTAATGGTGGGTAACTTTAAGACGACCTGACATAGTCGGTGGATGGTAGACAAGTGGTAGGCTAATGCTTAGTTTCTGTATATATATTATTGATAGTAACAAATAATCCCATTTAAACGTAAAAGGAGCCCCAGTGAGGTGGGAGACTCAGCCTGAACCTGAGGAAATCTAGACTTGCTTCATTTAGGGCTTTAACATTGCAGGAAGGGCTAGGCAGTAGAGAAATTAATGTGGTTCTTGGACTATGAGACAGACTAGACTAGTGGTTAAAGCGGTTGTTTGTAAAGCTGAAGGTTTGATTCCCCACATGGTTACAATGTGTGAAGACTATTTCTGGTTTCCCCTCCTGTGTTACTGCTGGAGTAACACCCAATGTTATTTCGACATACTTCTAGTGAACACAGAGTTGAAATGGATTTTCTCATCTTTATCCTCCCAATGCACTTCGGATTAAGCAAGTGATGGTTCCAGCATCCGTACCAAACAGTTCCACTGGGAGAACAAAGAAGCTGAAATCCACCACTTAATTCCTTTTGCCATATATTTCTTGTACACAAAATGAACCTGGTTTGTTTCTCAAAGAATCCAGCTGGGTTTTTTTATCTCCTTGTTAAAAGGTGTGAAAAATCTGAAATCAATTCTCCTGTTCCCCTGACAGTTTGAGAAGATCTTCAGAAACAAGGATACAACATGACTTGTCGCAATCTAGTTATTGGGTAGTACTGTCATCCTGTGCACAGTACACTAGCCAAAATATTTTATCAGGTAGCACTGCCTTCTGATGTTACAGTACACTTGCCACAATGTTTTATCAGGTAGTACTGCCTTCTGATGTTAAAATACACTTGCCACAATGTTTTATCAGGTATTACAGCCAAGCAAGATATATGGATGTCAACTTCTTTATTGTGAATAGCCAGGTACTATTCACAATAAAGAAGTTGACATCCATATATCTTGCTTTTCTTATGCATTCCACTTCTAAATGCCCTTCAAAGATTTGAGGTAGTACAACCTTCTTATGTTACAGTATACTTGCCACAAAGCCCTCTATCAGGTATTCTAAGATGCCCCCGGTGAAAGATCAAAGGCGCCGACAGTACTTTATCAGACGATAATGTGCACTTTTTGCATTACGTCACAATGTACTGGCATCACTGCGCCATTCTGCGCGCGTCCTCGTACTTTAACTATAATAGTTCAGGGAGAAAGTGTGCTTTATTACACTATACATGGTGATAGAGTAAACAGTATTTCTTAAGTACAGCATTCTGATGTTACAGTACACTTGCCAGAAAGCCCTCTATCAGGTAGTTCTCCCTTCAGATGAAGCAATACACATGACTGGGCTCCTGTCTACCTAAACTAACAGCCCTGCAGCGGCAGATTTGTTACATTCTGGCATTGGACAACCCTAAACAAACCATTCATTGGCCCTCAGTATCTAATGAAAACAAATAGTGGAAAATGTGAGGTTTGTTTATGAAGTCAAGTTCTTCTGATACAATTTACACCTGCATGGCTAGTCTGTACTGCATGACCGGCCGTTGTAATTGTTTTCAGTTGGATCCATGACATCATGTATGTTTACATTTGTAGTTCACTACCTCTTTTTTTGAACTTATAAAATGTATGTCAAGAACAATAGCATTGGAAAAAGGACCCATAGTTGGATTTGGTACAGATACTTATCATTAATTTTTGGTTGCAACAGTTGAACCAGTTCATGAATTTACTGCAGTCCCATTATCTAGTAGTACTGCCTTCAAATGTAGCAGAACACTTCCCAGAATTTCATTTTCTGATAGTACAGCCTTCTGACAAAGCAGTACACAATTCTGCAATCAGGTAGTATTGCCTGTTGATGAAGCAGGCTACTTGCTCAACTCAACATTTTTATGGTTCAGTTGCCATTTTTCAAAGCATGTCTTTGCATCATTAAATCCAAAATATTCAACAGAATATCGAACAGTTTATGAAAATGATAGCCTTTCAGGGGGAAATAGTGCAGTGAATTATCGTAATTGTCATCATTTGTGGTTTTATTTTACCCGAAAACCTCAGATCTTGAATTGTTTAGCATACACAAGAGCCCCCATCAAAATCACTTCAGCTAAACAGGCTACCAGCTGCCGATGTATAAACCAACGAGGTCAGACTAAAAGCAGGCAAGTTTTATCAATAATAGACATAAGCAGTTTCCATTACGTGAGGTAAATACTCATTACATGGTTTGACAGTGCAACATTTTCTATTATACTGGAAGATGAAGGTATTCACATTAAGATTATCAAGTAGAACAGCCTTCTGATGTTACATTACACTTGCCACAATCTTTATCAGGTAGTACAGCCTTCTGATGTGACAGTACACTTGCCACAATCTTTATCAGGTAGTACAGCCTTCTGATGTTACAGTACACTTGCCACAATCTTGTATCAGGTAGTACAGCCTTCTGATGTTACAGTACACTTGCCACAATCTTGTATCAGGTAGTACAGCCTTCTGATGTTACAGTACACTTGCCACAATCTTGTATCAGGTAGTACAGCCTTCTGATGTTACAGTACACTTGCCACAATCTTGTATCAGGTAGTACAGCCTTCTGATGTTACAGTACACTTGCCACAATCTTGTATCAGGTAGTACAGCCTTCTGATGTTACAGTACACTTGTCACACTCTTTTATCAGGTAGTACAGCCTTCTAATGTTACAGTACACTTGCCACAATCTTTTATCAGGTAGTACAGCCTTCTGATGTGACAGTACACTTGCCACAATCTTGTATCAGGTAGTACAGCCTTCTGATGTTACAGTACACTTGCCACAATCTTGTATCAGGTAGTACAGCCTTCTGATGTTACAGTACACTTGCCACAATGTTGTATCAGGTAGTACAGCCTTCTGATGATGACAGTACACTTGCCACAATCTTGTATCAGGTAGTACAGCCTTCTGATGTTACAGTACACTTGCCACAATCTTGTATCAGGTAGTACAGCCTTCTGATGTTACAGTACACTTGCCACAATCTTGTATCAGGTAGTACAGCCTTCTGATGTGACAGTACACTTGCCACAATCTTGTATCAGGTAGTACAGCCTTCTGATGTTACAGTACACTTGCCACAATCTTTTATCAGGTAGTACAGCCTTCTAATGTTACAGTACACTAGGAACAATCTCTCTATAAGGTAGTCGAAATGACTGCTGGTTGAAGATTTGGAATCAGATTCTCCATGGAAGATGCAGGTTTTGATGAAACTATCAGGTGCTGGCATATCAAGGTCAAACTTTTACCAAATAGAGATAGAACATTTCTCTTCCATTTCATTACCTACCACTGCTACAGATACTTACAGGTTATCCTCTACCAAACCAGAATCCGTAGTTTAACAAACACTTTTCGTAGGGAGCCTTCAGTGCAGGCAGATTCATCTGACAGCTGTGATTGGATGATATTGTGTAAGATTTGTGTATTGTAAGACTTCCGCCTGTATTCCCCCTAAATTTTAACGATGAGGAAAAATTCCTTCGAGTGGCAATTTTAGAAGTCGGATATGTCTTTCAGTATTTTCAGATACAATTAACCTTATCAGATGAGGAATATATATTCAGGTGATATGATTTGACTAGAATGAAATTTATGGGGGGTATACAGGCGGAAGTCTTTCCTTTGTATTTTTTAAATGTACATCCTTCCAGTGATAAAAACTGATCATATTGTCAACAAGTTTCATTCTGAGTTATCTCCCTTCCTCAGAAACTCAAGACATTTGTATGAATATTCCCCTCAGCTGTCTGAAATTAACAATAGTAGGCCACTATCTGAACTGTAGACAAGTTTGCGGAAGAGGAATGTGGCTGATTGCATGCCCCACTAGACATGCCCACGAGGTATGTGATGCCGGACTGACTTGGTGATACTCACTGTATAGAAGCAGCAGTCATCTTCCTGGTATATGTTCTGTGAGGTTGTTGTGTTGTTGTCGGAGCCCTGCCTGCTGAAGATGGGGCGGATGTAGTTGTAGTATAACTTGTAGACCAACAGTGACCCCAGGCCGACCCCAATGCCAAGGACACACACAACTCCGGCTGCCTTGGCTGAAACACAGGACACAATGTGATCACCTTGCACACAGATCGTACACATAAGCCCTTAAATTACCTTCTTGTGTAATGGACACTGTAACCAAAAATCATCATAATAGTCTTCGTTGGGTTAGAGCAGCACGCAGACCAGAAATGGGCTTTACACACTGTACCCACATAAAGAATCAAACCCAGACCTTCGGGACGATGAGCCAATGCCTTTACCACTTGACTACCCAACTACCCAGTCATTACTTATTGGCCATCTATGACGAGCCTGTCTTACACAGACATCAATCTAGAAACAGCTTAAAGCAAACAGATTGAGCTACAGAACCGTCCTATATATAAGCATAAAACATATTTACCACAATATAAGCACCATGTGCTACACCATGTCATCATGGTATGCTTGTACCCACATCCTACTGAGGAATCCTACCCTGATACGTTACTAGATTCTTCCTGGTCACCGCAGTATGAAATGTCTACGTTGACAAGCAATTGTTCATGAAACAACTAACAGCTTATGTAACTGATATACAAAAAGTTTAGAGTATCAGGTTGTCTTCCTGTAACTTGATTGTTCTGACCTCTATTTCTAATGTTGAGATCTGCATGGATCATTTTAACAGCTCCAGTATCAACAGTATTAGTTGCAGCTGTAGTAGAAGTTTGTTTGTTTGTTGATAAACATCATTATTCCATATAATATCAGTTGCAGGGGAAGTAGTAGCAGTGGGTAGTTGTAGTAGTGGTTGTAGTAGCAGCAGAAGTAGTAGTATTAACAGTGGTTAAGTAGAGGTTGTAGAAGAACACCATAACTGTATACAGTATACCATCAGCTCACATATAACACACGATTCCACATACAACTCAAATATGAGCTTGCATACAACACATGGGAACTTGTATACAACACATGGGAACTTGTATACAACACATGGGAACTTGTATACAACACATGGGAACTTGTATACAACACATGGGAACTTGTATACAACACATGGGAACTTGCATACAACACATGGGAACTTGTATACATCACATGGGAACTATGACATGTGAACTTGTATACAACACATGGGAACTTGTAACAACACATGGGAACTTTGCATACAACACATGGGAACTTTTATACAACACATGGGAACTTGTATACAACACATGGGAATGATATATATGTTTTTGGGAACTTGAACTTGTATACAACACATGGGAACTTGTATACAACACATGGGAACTATACAACATGGGAACTTGTATACAACACATGGGAACTTGCATACAACACATGGGAACTTGCATACAACACATGTTGTATTAATGGGAACTTGTATACAACACATAATACTTGGGAACTTGTATACAACACATGGAATAATGCATGGGAACTCAACTCATACACACACATGAACAACATATAACACATGGGAACTCCACATACAACACATGGGAACTTGCATACAAAACATGGGAACTTGTATACAACACATGGGAACTTGTATACAACACATGGGAACTTGTATACAACACATGGGAACTTGTATACAACACATGGGAACTTGTATACAACACATGAACTTGTATACAACATACATGAACTTGTATACAACACATGGGAACTTGTATACAACACACATGAACTCATATTTCACACCCATTAACTACACATCCTCTGGAACATCTCCCCCAGTGAGATCCCATCCACCTTGGTGCCAAGCAGCTGAGAGTTGCTAGGATATATACCACTTATACCACACCTGCAAGTGTGTCAATCTGGTACCAGATGCTATAAACAACATGTTATTGACAACCTCCAGCTGATATTGACATTAACAGCCACTTCATGTCATAGGCAACATGCACTGATAATCACATAAATGGATTATATCAATAAACATGCAACACAGACTCCAATTTATTTTTGTTAGGGCGAAATATCAATGATACTGGATGAGAAAATTGCTGTAGAAAACACAATGGTGAGGACAGCAGAGACTCCCATCAATACCTGTTCAGTGTGTTATGGCCTGAGAACAAATTTAGTTTCTGGTGTGTTTTTTATTTTATAGAAAACAACATCTTAACATCATTACAACAACAGATCTACAGGAACCTTTGTTAATTATTCATAAAGATGTGACAGAAATAAACTGAAAACATTTCAGATCAAAGTAAATCTTTTTCTAACAGTACAGATAACATACATTTCTCATGTCCAAAAATCCAGAATCGTGACAGTCGCAGAAATAACGACACATGTTCCAACTAAAGTAACATATTATCAGTTGTCTTTCAGTGGCATTTAGAAGTTGTACATTGATGTCCAAGATATTTTTATGGATTAAACTTCTTTTTAATTTCTCTCCACGATCAGTTTTTGAGACCATTCCAGGTCCCTTCATCAGGTGAAAGATGAAGGGACCTGGAATAATCTCAAACGTCGTGAGAGAAATTAAAAAGAAGTTTAATCCATAAAAATATCTTGGATCTTATCAGTTGTTGTATCTAATGAATCATAGTGAGAATTATTTTTATAATGTTAGTTGTGCCACCAGGGCACATTGAAAGTATTTCACCCATGCCATTTCAATATTTTCTGTGCCATGGCATGCAAATTGGGCACTAATTTGATCCCTGTTGTCAGTTGTTGCTTCATGAATATATAGGACCTGTTAGTCTTGTGAGGCGCTACTTCTGGTACTAAGTTGATTCCTGGCTTCCTTTACGTGCGTTAACTTGCAATATGCGAGACGGGCCCTGCTAATAATACTTCCGGTACCAGATTTTCGGTGACAAGCGTATATTCAAGAACCAGTTCTGGTTTCAACTGCACGACCACCATATATGACTTTACAAGACTGGACCAAGTGTACAGCTTGGCTGTCACACCTGTCGACAGTCATAATAGTTGGCTAATTTGGGGATGGTTAGATCGGAAATTTGTTATTCCTGCAAGGATTATTGGTTCCTTATTGTCAACTGACAACCACAAGATCATTCGAAAAGGTATAAAACGTTGTTTGTCACCAGAAGTCCTAAACAATGCAAGGTCTTGCGAAGTGCCCTGACCTACTTGCGGTCCCTATACTGTAACAATATTACAGGCAACCACAAATGTGCTATACATGGCACCATTACGAGAATCAAACTCGAGCTATGGTGTGACAACAAGCACTATAACAACTTGGCTACTCTCCTCCTAATCCTGCTAAAAGAACAAGATAGTCAAAGACTTTTAAGGGTGTTACATGTTATTGAGGGTATAATAGAAGGGACGCTTTCTAAAGTTGAAGACATTGGAACTTCTTTCTTGGATTGCTCACGCTTCAACAGAGGTGATTAAATTTTCCAGGCCATATTGGTGTTACAAGCTGACCTGAATGGTTATCGTGCTGTTGGCTTCTGCCTGAATCTAATTATTCCCCCGTCCTCCACCAAATGCTATCAGAGCCTGCAAAGTGCATCATCTTGACATATCGAGGAAAGAATCTCTTTACCAACCACCAGCCAGAAGATACCAAACTAAGGGCAACAGTTTTTTCACTTTTTACTCTATATTCAGGTGTATTGATAAAGCAAGAATCTTGTTGGTAAGAGCAAACAGCCCAAGCTGTATATTCTAGCACTGTAATCAATACTTAGATCGTCTGTAGATTATCAGAAAGTATAGCGCCAATGGACAATGGTCCCTGTATTGACTACTTTATTCCTGCTCCTCATTAACTAAAGGCCACAACATAGAGTTGACAATTACTGGCATGGCTGTGTGGAAGAAGTGGTTTTGGGGGAGATCGACAGCGTCGACAGTGTCGCCAAATCTGTCTGAGACGGGATCTGTTATAGCTGCAGCTTGGACAAAACACTTGACAACTTGATGCTTCCCATTAGAACGGCAACTCAACGATGCTAGTACATTGACTCATGTAACCACTGTATGTTACACCAACCAATCTGATTCCTGTTCGGTGGATATTGTTGACAATTTGTTGAGATACATGAGATAGATAAGGAACAAACTTTATGTATGAACAACTTCTTTATTCGGGAAGATGCGACGTTTCGATACAGATTCTTGTATCGTTGTCAAGCAAGAAACGCCGCATCTTCCGAATAAAGAAGTTGTACATCCATAAAGTTTGTTCCTTATCTGATTCACCAACTTCTAAACATGCCACTCAAAGAAGATACATGAGATACATGGATACATACTGTTTTAACAAAATATGTCAATATGATACTATCATCCTAATAATTCTTGACATATGTTGATGTCATCAATCACATGAAAGAGTACTGTAATTTATTAAACAATGTTCTGTTAATTTTGAACACAAACGCACATTCAAAACATATCTTTATTCAAAACTGGAAAAATTAATCTTAATCCTTTTCTTAAAAGAGGTAAAGATCGGACTCATCTGTAAACCAGGGAACATATTTCTTTAAGAGAAGATCACAACATGGATTCCAGTACATTATCAGAGGCCGATATTTGTCCAAGAACTGGAAAATAGACATAATTCTAAATATCAGCTAAATATGATCATAACTAATGTTTAGTTGCCATAGTGACTTGCAGGACAGATTGTATTTTAATAGTCATCCGTGAATGTTGGTGTTGTTTATGAAGATGTTGATTTCCGTAGTTGAAACCCTGCATTTCCTCAATGAACAAACTAATCAGTTACCATGGAAACAGACTGTGATAAATATTAATAATCAACTTTTTCAAAACAGCTGATATTAGTTATATTCCACTGAATGCACAAATGACTGGATTGTATCAAACATCACTACTCTTTCAAATAGGATCAAAGTCGTTATGATTAATTGACGGAAGGGCACGAAAAGAAAATCAATGTTTGTTATACAACAATTGGCAATGGAGTTATGGCTGATAAAAAACTGGTCTAAATACAGAAAGTCAAATGGTGGCTGCCGGCTGGATATAATTCCTGTATGTCAATACGATATGGCAAAATGGTGGTGTTGACAAGAAAGGGCCA